TGAGACCAACCGCCGTTTGGCCACTAACCGTTCCACCCGGCGTCGTTCGGGGCTTGGCTCACCTCCCAGGCCCGTTAAGGCCTTTGTCCGTGGTCCCCAGGACTCGGCAGGTCTCGCCCACTGGGAACAGAGCGGCCACCCGGGGCCCGGACCCGCGCGGCTCCGTGGCCTAAAGAGGCGGCGGATCCTGCCTGCGTCCCGGGACGGCCTTCCCGGGCCCCGCACACGCTAGCGGTCTTCCCCGCGCGGCGCTCGGGCGGCCGCCATGTTTCCCGGCCCGCCTCTCCTGGCGCCACGCAGAGGCGCTGCGTCCCGGCGGCTCGGCGGGGTTTCGTCGAGGGCGGGCAGGCTTGGCCTGGGAGGCCCGGCGGCAGCGGGGTCCGGGCTGGGAAAGGCCGCGGCCATCACTCACCGAGGCGGGGGTGAGGAAGAGGTTCGCCGCGGCTTCAAGGCCTGGGCCCGGCCACTGGGCAGCCACAGGGGGCCCCCGGTGTCAGCACGGCAAAGGTCGCGGCCGGCCTGGGGCCCCCAGCTCACACCCTCCATAGCTCAGCCGCCGGCCGGGGACCCCCACCCCCCGCTCCGGTCAACCCCCCACAGCTCCGCCGCTGACCTGGAGGGCCCTGAGGCAGCGGGCGGCGCTCTGCGTCGCTCTGCGCTCTCTGCGGGCTCCGAACTCAGGAGTCACAGATTGATTCAAATAGGTTTATGAATTTTTTAAAAAGCTTGACAACCACTGTGTTAAAAGATCCTACAGTAGTGGCAGAGAATTCCTATTCCTCTGCTTCTGTGCTGCCAGGTCTAAATGCTGCTTGCATTGTAAGTAACCAAGGAAAAAAGACCGGATTTCCCGGTGGTTGATGCTGTGTTGGTTGAGGGAAAGAGCCTCGGGTAACTACTTAGTATATTGATTCCAGATTATCTTCCTCGTCCAGTGTAATTAGCGAAACACAGACCCAAGTAGTGAATCACATGTTTTTATTTTGCTCCACAAATGTGTACTTTTTATATTTTGTTAGTCTGATAGCAAAAATTACATTTTCCACCTCTGCAGCTAGTTGTTCTTTAGAGTAGTTTTACTTCTGTGCTTCAGTGTTTGAAGGACGAGCCCCATCAGCATGGCACAAATAATCCAACAAGCTTGGACGCAGTTTGGCAAGCCAGCGTAGTCACAGTGATCGCTGCAGAAATCTGAAAGTGACTTGATCAAACACAATTTAGGGTGGGAAAAAAGGCATTTTCCCCCTCAACCAAATACTTAAAAGTTTGCAAACTTATTTCAAGCATATGGGAAAGTATAGAAAATAACAGAGTATTACTATGTATTACTCATCATCCAGTGCCAATTAAAAAAAATTTTTTTTTTTTTTTTTTTTTTGAGACAGCATCTCACTCTGTTATGCAGGCTGGAGTGCAGTGGTGTGATCATGGCTCACTGCAGCCTTAACCTCCTGGGCCAAAGTGATCCTCCCACTTCAGCCTCCCAAGTAGCTGGGACTACAGGTTTGTGCCATCATGCCCAGCTCCCACTGTCAAATTTTATGTTTATCATATTAAGCTTTTTTTTTTTTTTTTTGGTCACATAATAAAGTTCCTTGTCTGTGCCTTTCAGATCCCATTCCCTTTTTTCCTTCCCTAGACAAACATTCTGAATTTGGTGCTTTTATTAGTCCATTCTCACACTGCTAATAAAGACATATCCAAGACTGGGTAATTTATAAAGAAAAGAGGTTTAATTGACTCAGAGTTTTGCATGGCTGGGAAGGCCTCAGAAAACCAACAATTACGGCAGAAGGAGACACAATCACATCCTTCTTCAGATGGCGGCAGGAGACAGAATGAGCCCAGCATGAGAGCCCAGCAAAGGGGGAAGCCCCTTATAAAACCATCAGATCTCATGAGAAGTCACTATCATGGTAACAGTATGGGGGAAACCACTCCCATGATTCAGTTATCTCCTCCTGGCCCCACCCTTGACACATGGGGATTATTATAATTCAAGATGAGATTTTGGGTGGGGACACAGCCAAATCATATCAGTGATTGTTATCCACATGCTATTATTCCTATGCTTGTGTATCCATAAATAATACTACAATATTATTTTGCTCTTTTGTACTTTAAATGGTATATCATACATACTATTGTGTACCTTCCCCTTTTTGGTGATTGTTTATACAAGTAACTTGAGTCATTGTACAATTATATTCCATTATGCCAAAGTTTATCCATTATCCCATGGATGGACTTCTGGTGGTTTCTGTGTTTTGCTATACAAACAATACTGTGTACATTTTTGTACATCTCCTTTACACATGCAATAGTTTCTCACATGTTCATGTGCATACACATCATTTGGTGGGTCCTGTTAAAATGCAGACTGATTCAGTAAGTTTGGGGTGGGACCTGCAAATTATAATCATAGTAGGAAAAATGGGGGAAACATGTATCTTAAAGGTAATGCTCGGTGGCTCAAGCCTGTAATCCCAGCACTTTGGGAGGCCGAGGCGGGTAGATCATGAGGTCAAGAGATCGAGACCATCCTGGTCAACATGGTGAAACCCCGTCTCTACTAAAATACAAAAAATTAGCTGGGCATGGTGGCACGTGCCTGTAGTCCCAGCTACTCAGGAGGCTGAGGCAGGGGAATTGCCTGAACCCAGGAGATGGAGGTTGCAGTGAGCCGAGATCGCGCCATTGCACTCCAGCCTGGGTAACAAGAGCGAAACTCCGTCTCAAAAAAAAAAAAAAAAAAAAAAAAGACAGTGTGCTCACAATCTAGAATCTAGTATCTAGTATAGTGGGGTGGTTTAAAACATGGCACCCTTAAGATCAGAGTTTGAATTACAACTCAACTATTTGCAAGTTGGGTGACTTTGGATAGGTCATTTAACATTTCCAAATCTTGGTTGGTATTCTCATTTAGAATATGAGGATATTAATAGCACCCAGATTTTATGGTTGTGATGAGGCTATTTGCTAATATAATTGAGACAGAGTGCTTAGAATATTGTCTGGCACATAGCAAAAACTCACTAAAATTTGAGCTATTTTTGTTAACTTTCAGGCTGCCCCCCATGAATGTATTATTTCCCTCCAAATCGGATCACACTGTACATGTTATTTTTATAGCAAACTCTTGTCCACTGATTGCAGAATGAAAACATTTCTAAGTTATTCTCTATTAAGTCATTTTAAAAGGCTGTTTAGTATTCCAATGTATGTATCTACCACAATTAAATCATTGTTTGATGCTTCAAGTTGAATTATTTTACTATGTAGCTAAATAATTTCATAACATTTAGTTTTAGTATCAGCTCACTTTATTTCCCCTTCTAATCATCTTTCGGCTGTTACCCTTCTCTTCTAATCTGGGATCAGATAATCAAGTGACTTAAATCAGTTTATCTGCTATAACTTATCTGCAATTCTGTCACTTGCTCTAGGCCCTAGGCAAAAGGGACAGCTATTGTAGCAGCTGTCAGGGAGGCTGTTTTTGTCCATTTTAGGGTATGCCTCTTAGTCCAGCTGTCCTAATTTCACTGGGTATGAGATCGGGAGATACCACCCAGAAGATGACGGCACATCCTCCCGCTGTAGGTGCCTTTTCCCTTCTACTCCCTCCCTCTTAGGGTCTGAACACTCAACCTGCCTTTATGCCCAACCGCTGCCACCTCAATATTTACCATTTCTGATTTTCTAAAGGCCCAAAGCCCCTTAGCCTAGGTCTGGGAGTTACTGGTCTTCTTGACTTTTGACACCAGTATGTATGCTGCTGGATTCTACTTTGTGGGCTTCTCTGCTTTAGTTTCTCACATTTTTTTAGTAGCCTATGCATAACACTTATTTGCGCTTTTTCTTTCTTTCTTTTTTTTTTTTTTTTTTTTTTGGAGACAAAGAGTTTTGCTCTTGTTACCCAGGCTGGAGTGCAATGGCACGATCTCTGCTCACTGCAACCTCCGCCTCCTGGGCTCAGGCAATTCTCCTGCCTCAGCCTCTTGAGTAGCTGGGATTACAGGCACATGCCACCATGCCCAGCTAATTTTTTGTATTTTTAGTAGAGACGCGGTTTTGCCATGTTGGACAGGCTGGTCTCGAACTCCTGACCTCAAGTGATCCACGCACTTCGGCTTCCCAAAGTGTTGGGATTACAGGCGTGAGCCACTGCGCCTGGTCTACTTGTGCTTTTAAAAAAAACTTTGGATCCTGTTAAATTCCTACATTTTTGTATATATGGAAGCACAGAAAACAGGCTTCAACAAGTAAAACTCCCCAGTCAGGTGTTACTAAGTAGCCTAAATGCAGTTGGATAGGCCTGTTTCCCAAACTTGCCTGAAGGATCACATGGATACCTGTTGCCATATTCCCAAGCCCATCCCAAAGCGCAGCCCCTACACTTTGCATATATTATCTGGCTATATTAAACAGACACCCCAGGTGATTCTTGGAAACCGTGGGCTTTTAACTTGCATTCTCTGAGAGCTTCCAGGACACTGGGAAGTTCAACCACGACCTCAGGAAGCTTGTAACCAGCCTAAAGGTAGTATAGGGCTCATCCCATCAGGGCTGGAAAATTCTAGGATTCAGGTATTAGTTCAAATACCTGAAAGTCTTTAGAGCTTGAGACCAAAGAAGGAATTTATGTTCTTTTTGTTTTTTTTTTTTTTTTTTTTTTTTGAGACAGAGTTTCGCTCTTGTTACCCATGCTGGAGTGCAATGGCGCGATCTCGGCTCACCGAAACCTCCGCCTCCTGGGTTCAGGCAATTCTCCTGCCTCAGCCTCCTGAGTAGCTGGGATTACAGGCACGCACCACCATGCCCAGCAAATTTTTTGTATTTTTAGTAGAGACGGGGTTTCACCATGTTGACCAGGATGGTCTCGATCTCTTGACCTCGTGATCCACCCTCCTCAGCCTCCCAAAGTGCTGGGATTACAGGCGTGAGCCACCACGCCCAGCCAAAAAAAATTTTTTTAAACTTTAAATGGTGAGATAGTAAAGTGGTATAGCATGAAAAAGATACTTTATTCGTGCACAATTTTTCAGTTCCATTCATAATTACAGTACAAAACAATTCCCTTGATGAGTTTTTGTTACTTTTTACTTAAATACTTAGACTTAAGAAAAAAATAAAATTGAAAATCACTAGTAATTACTGGAAACTTATATTCCTTATGAATATATATGTATGCACATATACACCTTTATATGAATCACTAAAAAACAATTTCAAACATCATTCTTTTTTGTATTTAAAATTGCCCTTTTAAATATTTAGAAGCTCCAGAGGTGGAGGCTTTAATGGAATTTTTCCCAGAGTAAATTTCTTAGATTGAAATTGTTCCAGTTCTTGTACTGTCAGTTTATCTCTGGGTGTGAATAACACATTATCTGTGGCAATGATGCTGCTTGGGGCTGAGAAAGAAGTAGAAATGCTGCTATTTCCAAAAGTGTCATTGGATGGCTTGGAAAAAGCAGTGTGAGAATGTGAGCCTGGACTACCAAAACCAGCCACAGAACTGCCACCTCCAAAGGCTGGGGCCACTGGAGCGCTGATAGGACCTGTTGCCAAGGAAGTTGGAAGTCCTGAAAATCCAGGTGATCCAAAGCTGGAATCTGCAGGGCTTTTGAATGAAAATGATGCAGCAGATGTGATTTCAGGTTTCCCAAATCCAAAAGCTGGAGCAGAAGTGGAGATAGCTGAACTGGTAGAGGCTGTAGCTCCAAATGCTGGGGAACTCCCCCAAACAGCAGGGCTTCCAGATGAGGCAGTGGCAAATCCAGAGTTTGTTTTAAAACTAAAGTTCTGAGCATTATCACTGCTGCTGTTATTGACTGGAAAGCCTACAAAAAACAGAAAAAGAAAAAAATAATCTCTTACAGTCAGAACCAGTCAGAAAAACGTCACAATTATTTCCTTCCCCCATCATTTTTTCTTATTTCTGTCATGTTTCAGTGCTGAGAAGCTTACTGGAAGGAAGAGATGAGAAAAGTAAAAATGAGAGGCTAGAACAACCCCCTAAACTCTGCTTCCTGTCTTTCCTGCTAACAATTCCATTTTCACCTTGATCGACCGTCACCCAAGGAGAAACTTCAGGGACTAGGGAATGGACTTTCACTTTGGTTTCTACTTACCTCACCAGAGCTGCTACTTGAGGACAATGCTATGCTCTTATACACAGTGACAAGAAAGTTCTCAAAGGTGCTGCTTTCATAGCTATGTACTTCTGTGAAACTCCTGAAAAACCATTCATAAAATGTACTTCTAAAGCCTAAATGTCTTTTTGAGGCTCTATGATAGAAGGTTCTAGAATTTATAAAGGTAATTTAAAATGGTGATTCAGGCTCGTAATTTGAAACCTATAAAATCTATTTATTTATTTATTTTTTGAGATGGAGTTTCGCTCTTGTTACCCAAGCTGGAGTGCAATGGCGCGATCTCGGCTCACTGCAACCTCTGCATCCTGGGTTCAGGCAATTCTCCTGCCTCAGCCGCCTCCTGAGTAGCTGGGATTATAGGCACGCGCCACCACGCCCAGCTAATTTTTTGTATTTTTAGTAGAGACGGGGTTTCACCACGTTGACCAGGATGGTCTCGATCTCTTGACCACATGACCCACCCACCTCGGCCTCCCAAAGTGCTGGGATTACAGGCTTGAGCCACCGCGCCCAGCCTTGAAACCTATAAAATCTAATTTTTCTAAATCAGTGAAGTCCTGAATTACTTTATCACTTACCTGGTGACACAAATGTTCCTGCTTGACTACTACTGCCAAATCCAAATGCAGGTGCTGCTTGATTTATTCCATCCTTTACATCAGAGAGCTGGAAAAAAAAAGTGTGCCAATAATAAAGTGCTTGATGAATAACGCTCCAGTACCTTTTCTATATACTTTACTGCCAAATTCAATTTTTAAAAGTGTGCATTAAAGGCTGGGTGTGGTGGCTCACACCTGTAACCCTAGCACTTTGGAAGGCTCAGGCAGGAGGAGTGCTTGAGCCTATGAGTTTGGGACCAGCCTCAGCAACGCAGTGAGCTCCCCCCATCTCTACAAAAAATTAGCCAGTGGTCCCAGCTACTTGGGATCTTCAGGTAGGAGGATCACTGGGGTCTTGGAAAGCCTGGGTGATGAAGTGAGACTCTGACTCAGAAAAAAGAAAAGAAAAAAAGTGCATTAAAAAATGCAAAGTTAAATGTTTAACATGGAAAATGTCCATAATATGATGTTTAAAGGATATGATATAATACTGTATAAACAGTATAATCACAACTAATAATATGAATATGTATAAAAATACACTGGTAAGTTAACAGTGACTGTCTCTGGCTGATGAATTACGAGCAATCTAAATTTTATTTATGATTTTTTATACTTTCTAAATTTCTACAATGAGCAGATATTATAATCAGAAAAAAAATTTTTTTTTTTTTTGAGGCGGAGTTTTGCTCTTGTTACCCAGGCTGGAGTGCAATGGCACGATCTCGGCTCACCGCAACCTCCGCCTCCTGGGTTCAGGCAATTCTCCTGCCTCAGCTTCCTGAGTAGCTGGGATTACAGGCACGCGCCACCATGCCCAGCTAATTTTTTGTATTTTTAGTAGAGACGGGGTTTCACCATGTTGACCACGATGGTCTCGATCTCTTGACCTCGTGATCCACCCGCCTCAGCCTTCCAAAGTGCTGGGATTACAGGCTTGAGCCACCGCGCCCGGCCTAGAAAGATATTTTTTAATAACTTTTTTCAGTGTCTATAAAGTTAATCTGCAATTATCAAGAAATCTAGTTATTAGTTATAAAGGACCTTTATAGAATACCCAGTCTACTCTAATACTCGAAATGAAGTAAATCCACAATTATACCATTAAAAGTTTACAACTAAAATCCATTAAACATTTCCCATTCCTGAAAGTACTTTATGTTCTTGCTATTCTATGCTCTAGAAATGTCTTTCATCTCTGCTTACTGAAATCTTAATTCTCTTTTCAAGGAACTTTGTACTTGCTCCTTCCTTCCAAGAAGTGTTTCTTTCTTTTTTTTTTTTTTTTGAGACGGAGTTTCGCTCTTGTTACCCAGGCTGGAGTACAATGGCGCGATCTCGGCTCACCACAACCTCCGCCTCCTGGGTTCAGGCAATTCTCCTGCCTCAGCCTCCTGAGTAGCTGGGATTACAGGCACGTGCCACCATGCCCAGCTAATTTTTTTGGATTTTTTTTAGTAGAGATGGGGTTTCACCATGTTGACCAGGATGGTCTCGATTTCTTGACCTCGTGATCCACCCGCCTCGGCCTCCCAAAGTGCTGGGATTACAGGCTTGAGCCACCGCGCCCGGCCCAGGAAGTGTTTCTTAATCATCCCAAGCAAATATAAGTGATTTATTTCATTTGGAACCCCTAAAAAAAAAATCAGCTTTTTTGAGGTATAGTCTAATACAATAAAATGCATCCATTTTATTTATATATGTCAGTGAGTTCTGAGAAACTCACAACCACCACAATCTAGATTGAAAACATTCCTGTTCCCTAAAAGTTCTTTTGTATCGCCTCCCAGTCCTAGTCCCTGGCACCACTCTATCTGCTTTCTATCACTACAAATGAGACTTGTCTTTTCCAGAGTTTCACACAAATGAAATCACATGGTCTACATTATTATTATTATTATTATTATTATTTTTTTTTTGTGAGACGGAGTTTCGCTCTTGTTACCCAGGCTGGAGTGCAATGGCGCGATCTCGGCTCACCACAACCTCCGCCCCCTGGGTTCAGGCAATTCTCCTGCCTCAGCCTCCTGAGTAGCTGGGATTACAGGCACGTGCCACCATGCCCAGCTAATTTTTTGTATTTTTAGTAGAGACGGGGTTTCACCATGTTGACCGGGATGGTCTCGATCTCTTGACCTTGTGATCCGCCCGCCTCGGCCTCCCAAAGTGCTGGGATTACAGGCTTGAGCCACCGCGCCTGGCCTACATTATTATTATTATTTTTTGGTATGGTTTCTCTCCCTCAGTGTAATATTCATTTAATGGCAGATGATAAACAAATTATAATATATCCATACAATGGATTACCATTCAGTATAAAGAAGGCATGAACTACTGATACATGTTAAGTCAGCTATGGGTGGGTTGTCCCAGAGCCTCACTTACGGAGGGGCCCTGGGCAGTTAGCAAAGACTGGGCCTTCCAGCCCTAAGGGAAGTTCTGCAGCTCTTTGGAATCAGTTATCCTTTCTCTATAAGCTCTCATCCCTGGTGATGGTGGGCCACCTCTCACACAAGGACAGATTACTTCCAAGAAGTCCCACTAAATTCAAATAGGATTACAACAACTGAAAGGTGAAAAATTAGCTTGCACAAGAGTCTAATTATTCAGGAAGCACATATTTAAGAAAGAGGTAAGGTGTTGGGACTGTCAAACATCCACTAACTCTAGGCAGATAGTACTCTCATATCCTTTATGCAGAGTAGAAACAAACCACTCGAGAAACTGGAAATATTAAAATTATAAATGTGAACATCTTATTTTAAAATAAAGTTCTTAAGAACTTTTTTTTTTTTTTTGAGATGGAGTTTCACTCTTGTTACCCAGGCTGGAGTGCAATGGCGCGATCTCGGCTCACCACAACCTCCGCCTCCTGGGCTCAGGCAATTCTCCTGCCTCAGCCTCCTGAGTAGCTGGGATTACAGGCACGCGCCACCATGCCCAGCTAATTTTTTGTATTTTTAGTAGAGATGGGGTTTCACAATGTTGACCAGGATGGTCTCGATCTCTTGACCTCGTGATCCACCCGCCTTGGCCTCCCAAAGTGCTGGGATTACAGGCTTGAGCCACCGCGCCCGGCTCTTAAGAACTTTTTAATGGGTGCAGAAACATCAAAACTTTATTTACAAAGATAAACGAACTTGCTATAGTCAGGACAATAGATCTTTGGAGACAGGTTGTATACATCTTCCAAAGGTATTTCTGGTTGTTGTTGTTGCTGTTGTTTTTGAGACAGAGTTTCACTCTTGTTTCCCAGGTTAGAGTGCAACGGCACCATCTCGGCTCACTGCAACCTCTGCCTCCTGGGTTTAAGCGATTCTCCTGCCTCAGCCTCACGAGTAGCTAGGATTACAGGCATGCGCCACCACACCCAGCTAATTTTATATTTTTAGTAGAGATGGGGTTTCTCCATGTTGGTCAGGTTGGTCTCGTACTCCTGACCTTAGGTGATCTGCCTACCTTGGCCTCCCAAAGTACTGGGATTACAGGCATGAGCCACCGTGCCTGGCTGGCATTTCTGTTTAAGACAAGGAATATACTGTGTTCTTCAGTCACAAAATTATACATTATATTTTGAATGTGCATTCATATAATTGTTCAAAGTAATTTCTTTTTACATACAGATAACATTAAATACTTAAATTTATGTAATAGTTTGCCATTTTCAAAACCAGCACTACCAAAGTTAAAAACTTAACCCTAAAAAGCTTTTAAAAAGCATAATTATTTCTGCTTTTCTGACCAAGGAACACAGAGAAAACTATTTCAAGACCCTGACTCTTGTGATGGTATTATGAGAATGTGTGTATCATAATTCTTGATGAAAAATTTTTGTTTTACTTTCCAAATCTAAGGTAAAATATACTCTGCAAAAAAGCAATAGGTAAGACACTTCCCTCCAAAAAACTCTCCCATACTCACCAAAGCTACTTTAGTTGATATATTTAGACTTTTCAGTTCATTTACCCTGTTCCTCCATTGATTTATTAAACGTTGAACAGAATTTACCTGAAAAGGGAAGACAAAAAAATAACAGTTCAATATTGTATGTTTAAGTTAGTTTCTTCAATAAAAACTTCATGTATTTATTTGCCAAAATCACAAAAGGTTTATGTAACAGTTTTATGGCTCATAACTTGCAAAATATGCATTGACTTGGCCTATTTGTCAAAGATATTCCAACTCCAGTTCCCTCTCCCTGTTCAACTCCTTGTATCACCTGGTTAATATCACGAGTACCTGGCAACACGCAGTTAGTTGTATTTGGATGGGAGGTGAACACATATACTAGTTGAAATGTATAATCATGACTGTAGAAACAGAAAAACATACTATTTAAACTGCTTCCTTCAGGTACTCAACTTATTCTAGTCAATAATTTTTTTTTTGATATTTGATACATGAGGATGTTAATCTGTATTACAGACTGTATCTTATTTGTTTTTCTAGCATTTGTCATTGGATCTGCACCTAACATATGTTCAACAGATGTCTGTCAGATGATAAAAGCGTTCGATTTCTGGGACTGACTGTTGGGTAATTTATAATAAAAATAGTAATATTCCTCATTATTACAGTAAAAATATATTACCATTTTAAAAACTAACCAACTTCAATGAAAACAATATAGAAAAGAAAAATAGCCTTCTCCTGAAAAAAGATCATAGACCTCATCAGTTTTGCCAAAACACAAGCCACGATAAAGAAAGCAGTAATGAAGAGCTCATCTGTTATTGCGGTAGGTGAAGAGGAAACAAACTTACATAACTCTGTAAGTTATTGCTGGTTAAGAAGTTATGGTATTCAAGCCTCAATTCCTCTGGTGAAATGTCTGTAAAACCTGAAGTGAGGAATCAATTGGAATCTTTAAAATAAATGCCAATAATTCTGATAGTAAAGCTAGAGGTGCTAAACAAGAAAATACCTAAAGTTGATTATTAGAAAATTTTCATAATCACAAGAAAGAAACCTAAAGCCTACACTCTTTAATGTTTAATAAAGTATAAAATTATAATAAATATAATTGGTTATTTTGATCTTTAAATGGGGAAGAATTTTCTAAAGATAAGTGGAGTGGAATGAATAACAAAGAGAGAGATTTGACTACATTTATATTCAAACTTTTATTTTAAAAATTCTGCCAAAAACTACACTAAGCAAAATTACAAGGCAAATGGTACACTAGGAAAATTATAATTTTAACATATATGACAAGGGAAGAACTAATGCCCTAATGTATAAATAGCTCTTACAAATAAATGAGAAAAGTAAATGAATTTGGGCAAAGATAATGAACAGGCAATTTGCAAAAAAATCAAATAGTAAATAAAAGAAATAAAGTTAGATGCAACTTAAAATAGAGATAAAATGCTTTACTTATCAGACTGGCAGAAATTTTAAAAGCTGATATTTACTGTTTTTCCAAGTATGGTGAAATGTATCATTTCCTAAATTACTGCTAAGGGAATCAAAACGGTACAAGTTTTCTGGGAGGGATAATTGTTAATAAGTATCACAAGCCTGAAGAACATTCACATCCTGTGACCTATAATACAATTTCTAGGATTTAACCTTGGGAAATAGTTACATATGTAAACAAAGGTTGCTATGTATAAGGATGCTCATTCTAGTATTTTTAGTACTATGACAAACTGAAAGCAAAAATTAGAATATAAAACCAGATTATGGGCTGGGTGCTCATGCCTGTAATCCCAGCACTTTGGGAAGCTGAGGCGGGTGGATCACCTGAGGCCAGAAGTTCAAGACTAGCCTGGCCAACATGGCAAAACCCTGTCTCTACTAAAAATACAAAAATTAGCTGGGCATGGTGGCATATGCCTATAATCTCAGTCACTCGGGAGGCTAAGGCAGGAGAATCGCTTGAACCTGGGAGGTGGAGGTTGCAGTGAGCCAATATCGCGCCACTGTACTCCCACCGGGCAACAAGAGCGAAACTCTGTCTTGAAAATGAAAACAACTAGATTATGATCCTAATTAGGTACGTGTATACGTATATGTGTATAGGTACACACACACACACACACACACACACACACACACACACGAGCAACTTTTATATCCCTGTACAAGTGGACCCTTGCAGTTCCATTCAAGGGTCAACTGTACACATAGCTGTACAGTGCCACTTGTCACTTGTACACGGATTTTCTTCCGCCTCTGTCACTCCTGAGACAGCAAGACCACACCCACTTCTCCCTCTGTCTACTCAATATAAAGACAATGAGGATGAAGATTTTTATGATGATCCACTTCCACTATATGAATGGTAAATATATTTTCTTTTCATTATGATTTTCTTTGTTATACTTTCTTTTCTCTTACAGTGGGTTATTAGTAGTTCAGCTTTTGGGGAGTCAAAGCTTATATGTGGATTTTTGACAGCACGAGGATCAGTGCCCCTAAACTCTATGTTGTTCAAGGGTCGATTTTATACATAAGTAAGAAATATGCACTTTGGGAGGCCGAGGCGCGTGTATCACGAGGTCGAGAGATCGAGACCATCCTCGTCAACATGGTGAAACCCCGTTTCTACTAAAAATACAAAAAATTAGCTGGGCATGGTGGCGCGTGCCTGTAATCCCATCTACTCAGGAGGCTGAGGCAGGAGAATTGCTTGAACCCAGGAGGTGGAGGTTGCGGTGAGCCGAGATCGTGCCATTGCACTCCAGCCTGGGTAACAAGAGCGAAACTCCATCTTAAAAAAAAAAAAAAAAAAGGCCGGGCGCGGTGGCTCAAGCCTGTAATCCCAGCACTTTGGGAGGCCGAGGCGGGTGGATCACGAGGTCGAGAGATCGAGACCAACCTGGTCAACATGGTGAAACCCCGTCTCTACTAAAAATACAAAAAAAAATTAGCTGGGCATGGTGGCGCGTGCCTGTAATCCCAGCTACTTAGGAGGCTGAGGCAGGAGAATTGCCTGAACCCAGGAGGCGGAGGTTGCGGTGAGCCGAGATCGCGCCATTGCACTCCAGCCTGGGTAACAAGAGCGAAACTCCATCTCAAAAAAAAAAAAAAAAATATATATATATATATATATATATATATATATATATATATATATATATGTGTGTGTGTGTGTGTGTGTGTGTGTATATTTTGAAACAAATATACTAAAATACAGTAGTTATCTCTGTGATATCAAGTTATTTTAATTTTACATATTTCTGTACTTTCCAAGTTTTCTATAGCAGAAGCTGTAACTTTTTTTTTTGAGACAGGGTCTCACTCCTGTCACTCAGGCTGGAGTGCAGTGGCTCACTGCCACCTTGACTTCCTAGGCTCAGGTGATCTTCCCATCTCAGCCTCCTAAGTAGCTGGGACTATAGGAATGTGCCACCACACCCTGGTAGAGATGGGGTTTCGCCATGTTGCCCAGGCTGGTCTCAAACTCTTGGGCTCAAGTGATCCATTTGCCTCGGCCTCCAAAGTGATAGGATTACAGGCATGAGCTATCACATCGGGCCTAAAAGCTGTAACTTTTATAACTAGGCAAACTTACTGAGAAAGGAAAAAAATGTTCAAGATGTTTTCAAAGATAATTCCTTGTAACCCAGTTATTATTAACTCCAAGGATGCCTGCTTTGGAATAAAGGAAAGACTAAGTGTTCAAAGCAGAACCCTGGACTCCTTCTAGTGACTTGTCTTTCCCATCTTTACTGACTGCTCAGGCCAAAAAACCCTAGGAATCATCTTGGATTTCTCTTTCCCTATATCTAATTAATCAGCATCCTGCCAGTTCAAGCTCCAACAGAGAACCCAAATATGACCAATTCTGTCTTCACTGCTACGAACTCTAACCTAGTCACGAGGAGCAATGTCTTCTAACTTGTCTCCGTGCCTCGACTTTTGCCTCTGCTCCCAACAGGCCTTTTCTACCCCCACACACAGCATGCTGAATTAGCTTTTTCTAATCAGATCATGTCCCTCTCCTGCTTAAAGTTCTTCATGGCTGCCTGCCCAGTGCAATTAGACCCAACATGATCTGGCCCCTGGCTATCTCTCTGGCCTTATTATCATATTACTTTCCCTTGTTTACTCTTCTCCAGTGATTCAGGCCCCACTAGCCCATAAACACTGACAACCTTGTTCTTACCTCAGGGCCTTTGCAATAGCTAGTCCTACTGCCAGGAATGTTTCCCCCGAATCTTCCCATAACTGATACCCTCTCTGTATTCAGGACTCAGCTTTAATATTGCCTCCCAGGAATAGATAACCACTCCATCTAAAGGAACATTGTCCTCCTAGTTGCCTCCTATTCCTTACAGCCAGGCTCAACCAGAACTCTTCATCTGAACCACAGAACACAGAAAATGATTTGAGTGTCAATTTTCTCAAATCTTGCAAAATAAGGCAAAAGTAGTATCAGCCTATAGCTGCATAGAAAAAGTTAATTTATTACGTACAATGGATGCCTAACGACAGAAGCACTCAAACTTTTTGGTCTCCGGACTCCTTTACATTCTTCAAAATCATTAAGGACCCCAAAGAATGTGTGTTTACATGGGTTACTTACATTGATAATTACCACATTTGAAATGAAAACTGAGAAACTTAGTATTAATCATTTGAAAATAAGAAACCAATTATCTATCTACATAAATAAAAAAGCTATTTCCCAAAACAAAAAATAAAAGTTTAGTAAGATGAATAGCCATGCTTTATGTTTATACATATCTTAATGTTTAGCTTAATAGAAGACTACTGGATTCTTATATATGCTTCTGCATTCATTCTGTTGAAATATGTTCTGACTGAAGTATATAAAGAAAATGGGTACTCACATACACATGTATGGGAAAAGGAAGACTTAAATGGCTTTTTCAAATAACTGTGGACGTTTTTCTTTGATACTACACCAAAATTTGACAAGTGGTAGTTTCTTAAAGGTTAACTATAACATAGACTCAAGCCATACTAATGAACTTTTTGTGCTATATTAAAATCTACTGGTTTATCATGCATGTAGAATAGATTTTCAGCCATGCATAATTTTGAAATATTACACAGTCATTTAAGAGATGTCAGTTTACTGAGTTATGCAGAACTTCCAAACATTAGCATGTTAATATACAACACCAAAAAATTTATAAAGACACAGAGTCTCGCTCTGTCATCCAGGCTGGAGTGTGGTGGCTCACCATAACTTTGAACTCTTAAACTCAAGTGATCCTCCCATCTCAGCATCCCAAGTAGCTAAGACTCTAGGCATATGTCATCATGCTCAGGCTAATTTTTCTATTTTTTGTAGAGATGGGGTCTTGCTATGCTGTCCAGGCTGGTCTTGAATTCCTGGCTTGAAGCCATCCCTCCACCTCAGTCTCCCAAAGCACTGGGATGACAGGCATGAGCTGCTGCATGCGGCCCTCACATTTGTGAATAGTGCCATCCGTTTCATCAGAAGAGAGTTTAAGTACTGAGAAGCCATCATGCTCAGGATGACAAAAAAGTTTTCCAAAATTCCAATTTTTGCTTGAAAGTTTTAATTTTGGCTTTGGCAATAAACACTAGCAACTGTTTACTTACAAATAACCATAGTTCTAATTCCTTTCAAATCAATACTATTTTTGAAAAAAGTGGCTAACTCAGTCACAACTCGAACAATCATGTAAGATAACCATCACACTTGGGCATGGGGCAGACACACTTGGTGTGTGCTTCCCATTTTATCACATAGAATATTTAAAAGGTATGTACTCAGGGTCAAGGGTTAACAAAATTAATAAATTTTATCTCTTCATAAAGGAACTTCTTAAGTTCAAATGGCATTAAAAATGTTTTTCATTGGCTGGGCGCGGTGGCTCAAGCTTGTAATCCCAGCACTTTGGGAGGCTGAGGTGGGTGGATCACGAGGTCGAGAGATCGAGACCATCCTGGTCAACATGGTGAAACCCCGTCTCTACTAAAAATACAAAAAATTAGCTGGGCATGGTGGCGCGTGCCTGTAATCCCAGCTACTCAGGAGGCTGAGGCAGGAGAATTGCCTGAACCCAGGAGGCGGAGGTTGCAGTGAGCTGAGATCACGCCATTGCACTCCAGCCTGGGTAACAAGAGCAAAACTCCGTCTCAAAAAAAAAAAAAAAAAAAAAAAAGTTTTTTATTGTGACTATAGTCTATTAGTAATTTATTGTCTCTGCCTTGATTCATACTAACATACAAGAAGTTCTACTTATCAATGCTTTTGTACCAACAGTGCAAAGGTCAACATAGCGAAAAATGGCAATTAATCATTTAGTATTATTATGAAATATTTTTGAAATTATGCAACTTCTAAAAGGTTATCAGGGATAAAGTTGCCAGATTTAGCAAATAAAAATACAGGAGGCCCAGTTAAACTTGAATTTCAGATACACAACAAATACTTTTTCAGTATAAATGTGCCCGAAATATTACATGGGATGTACATATACTAAAAATACTGTTTATCCGAAATTTAAATTTAACTGGATGTCCCATATTTCATCTGGCAACTGTATTCAGGAATCCACATTTTGAGAACCACTGCTTTAGGGCAAGAGGCATTAAGTTCAAATTGGAATGGATTATTTCTCAAGTACTAATACTTCAGCTGATTGAGGAATTAATACTTCTTGTTTTTTTATAGAAAATATCATCCGAAATTCTCTTAGTTTATTTGCATCTATTGTCTTCCTCCCTCAAGAACATAAGATTCATAAGGAAAGGATCTTGTCTGTCTTGCTCATCACTATATTCCTAGCATGTAGCACAAAAGAAATTCAGTAAATATTTGTTAAATGGACAAGTGATAACTAACTAAAAAATGCTGTAATGCAATTGCTCACAGAAAATGAGCAACTAGAACTGAGACAGAGGGAAGATTCCAAGGTTCTGTGATATTGACTGCAAGTGCTCCCAGCTGCAAGGTACCTACTGTTTCCTCAAAAGGGTGGAGGCCCAGGAACACCACCATGGGCTTGGTAGTCTAGGTTTCAGCCCAGAAAGAGTTTAGGGACTATGGACCAAAAAAAAAAAAAAAAAAAAAAAAAAGGCCTGGCCTGGTGTGGTGGCTCATGCCTGTAATCCTAGCACTTTGGGAAGCCAAGGCGGGCAGATCACAAGGTCAAGAGATCGAGACCATCCTGGCCAACACGGTGAAACCCTGTCTCCACTGAAAATACAAAAAAATCTGCTAGGCGTGGTGGCGTGTGCCTGTAATCCCAGATACTCGGGAGGCTGAGGCAGGAGAATTGCTTGAACCCGGGAGGTGGAGGCTGCACTGAACCGAAATCATGCCACTGCACTCTATTCTGGGCAACAAAGTGAGACCCCGTCTCAAAAAACAAAAACCAAAAAAACCGTGGTATTCTAAAGCAAATGCTATGCCAGGCCAGGTGTGGTGACACACGCCTGTAATCATAGCACTTCAGGAGGCCTAGGTGGGCGATCGCCTGCAGTCAGAAGTTCAAGACCAGCTTGGCCAACATGGTGAAACTCCATCTTTACTAAAAATACAAAAATTAGCCGGTGTGGTGGTGGACTCCTGTAATCCCAGCTACTTGGGAAGCTGAGGTAGGAGAATCGCTTGAACCTGGGAGGCGGAAGTTGCAGTGAGCCGAGATCACATCACTGCACTCTAGCCTGGGCGACAGACTAAAATTCTGTCTCAAAAAAAAAAGGAAAAGAAAAAGAAATGCTACCCCTGTAGCCCAGCTAAGCCTCCTCACATTTAAACATTATCTCCAGAACGGGTCTCAACACACTTTATGAAAAGTAACTGTTCTTAGGAGGAAAGACACGGAAGAAAGAATAGAATCAGGCAGCCAAGGCCTTAAGACAGGCAGGGTGTGACTCTTCTATTCACTACAGGAAGCTAAGAGGTTCCAAAGTTGTACATACAGGGAAACAAGAATGCAGAACCTCTTCGTCGGCTTTATTTAAATGTTTTCTCACAAGAACTACATGTCTTAAAAGACTATGTTTTCCAACCTTAATCTCTAAATTATGAAGTTTGGCCAGAATACTCAAATACTTTAAACAATGTCCAAACTCTCCTAGTTGGTTGTTGATTTCTTTGTCATTCTTTTGGCTTTAGAAAATAATAGTTTTAGAACATATTTTTAAAATGCACAATTTTTCAGTTACCTGAAATATTAGGTTTCTTTTTAACTGGTGAATAAACAGAAAATATCCACTGCCCTGATGATTCCCAAACCTCCATATCTTTTACAATTCCTTCCCTGCAAAAAAGACAAAAAACAATAAAAAGTGAAGGATCTTCTTAGCTGCTTGGTAAAATTTATTGTCAATGATTTTCAACAACTGAAATTTTAAATTCTGGTAAATACATAGTTCAAAATCTTTTCCATTATGTTTTCTGAAGAGTATTCTTTAAAACACAAGAGAAGTGTGAAATATATTTCATGGTTATACACAGTATTATAATGTCAGAGAAGTTAATGAGTTTGGTTTTCCAATATGCTGAACCATTAACCACTATACTTACCTTAAAAACAATCATAGATACCATACTCCTTTTAGGAATTAAAATCTAAAATACTAACTTTAATCTTTCTGTGTCATCACAAACATCAATAGTCATTTAACTGAGAACAAAGTACCACTTACATCATACAGAATCATAATATTTTAAAAGTGGGTTATAGGACTTCAAAGATCATTTTATCTAATTCTCACATTTTGCAGCAGGAGAAACAGACCCACACCCATACAATTAATCTGCGGTAAAGCCATAGGTAGTAGATTCGGCTCTAAATTAAAGTTTCCCCCAAGTCAGACTGTGTCAATAAAAGGAGAATTATCACAGAGAAAACTGTATTAAATTTAGGATTGCAACAAATACAGAAAGGAGGGTTTTGTTTGTTCATTTGCTTAAAAAAAATTGGCTGTATATGGTACATGGCTCAAAATGTCTACCACTGGTTCTGATTTAATTAGGAAAAGTAAAAGACTAACCGATTACATTTAAATTCCATCCTGGGCACCATGAGTTGAGGAAACATTACAGATAACCAAGCATTGTTTTGACACCAGTCATAAATTTTACCATAAATATTCTCAAGAAATGTCATGTATTTACTCCACAGTAAATGTAGGAAATCAAATGAGATTAATTTGAATAGGATAATTTAAGTAAAGTTTTAGAAAGAAATAAGATACACAGCTGGGCATGGTGGCTCATGCCTATAATCCTAGCACTTTGGAAGGCTGAGGTTGGCAGATCACAAGACTGGCCTGGCCAACGTGGTGAAACCCCATCTCTAATAAAAACACAAAAAATTAGCTTAGTGGCAGGCATCTGTAATCCTAGCTACCCAGGAGGCTGAGGCAGGCGAATGGCTTGAGCCTGGAAGGCAGAGGTTGCAGTGAGCTGAGATTGCACCACTACACTCTCGCCTGGGCAACAGAGCAAGACTCCATTTCAAAAAAAAAAAAGAAAGAAAGAGATGGTACATAAGTGACCTCCAAGTTCACAAATTGTTCTAAATTACATCATACTTTGTAAAGGACTTGTAAGATAGAATGAACTTAAGGAGGACTAATCTTAGGAAGATATTCACAATATAGTGTTATCAACAGAAAGTGGAAAAGATGTAATTACCCCTAAGAAGGCATTTTACTATTATAGAAAGATGATATATATTTAAGTGAAATAAAGTCTAGGACAATACAAAGCAAAACAGTGGCTATCTATGAGTGATAGGATCGTGGGTGGTTTTTCTTCTTTTTGTTTACCCTGATTTTAAAATAATGCATTTTTTTTTTTTTTTTTGAGACGGAGTTTCGCTCTTGTTACCCAGGCTGGAGTGCAATGGCACGATCTCGGCTCACCGCAACCTCCGCCTCCTGGGCTCAGGCAATTCTCCTACCTCAGCCTCCTAAGTAGCTGGGATTACAGGCACACGCCACCATGTCCAGCTAGTTTTTTGTATTTTTAGTAGAGACGGGGTTTCACCATGTTGACCAGGATGGTCTCGATCTCGTGATCCACCCGCCTCGGCCTCCCAAAGTGCTGGGATTACAGGCTTGAGCCACCGCGCCCGGCCAATAATGCATTTTTTTAAAAAAGAAAATACTGTACTGTGAAAAGACGTTTCAAAAAAGAAAAAAAGAAAAGAAAAACCAAAGATTGTAGGTGCTTTTGAAAAAACATATAAGCAAATGGACAATATTTTTCCTGAACGCTTTCACTTACAGAAGTTTCTTTTCATCTTTTTGCTCCTCAGGACTAAGTGAAGCAAATGGGTTCTCAGACAATCCAAAGCCCTCATTCCGGTTAGTTGAAGCTCCTGAATAAAAAGAACCAAAAGATGGCTTTTCTTGATCTCTGCTGCCCCCCCATGGTGTGGATTTGGAAAAACTGGATGGCTGGATGACATTAGAGTATCTTTGGCTAGTGGTATTCCATCCACGTCTGTTATTACCTGAAATAAACAATAAAACAAAATAATTTTACTAGCAACTTTTCTTTTCTTTTCTTTTCTTTTTTTTGAGACGGAGTTTCGCTCTTGTTACCCAGGCTGGAGTGCAATGGCGCAATCTCGGCTCACCGCAACCTCCGCCTCCTGGGTTCAGGCAATTCTCCTGTCCTCAGCCTCCTGAGTAGATGGGATTACAGGCACGTGCCACCATGCCCAGCTAATTTTTTGTATTTTTAGTAGAGACGGGGTTTCACCATGTTGATCCAGGATGGTCTCAATCTCTTGACCTCGTGATCCACCGGCCTCCGCCTCCGCCTCCCAAAGTGCTGGGATTACAGTCTTGAGCCACCACGCCCGCCCAGCACCTAATTCATTAACCCGGTCTTTAAATTCTTGTGTTGTTCTAAGGTTTCATGTCTTAACTCTCCTTTAAGATAAAAAGTTCTAGGCCGGGGCGCGGTAGCTCAAGCCTATAATCCCAGCACTTTGGGAGGCTGAGGCGAGTGGATCACGAGGTCAACAGATCGAGACCATCCCGGTCAACAAGGTGAAACCCCGTCTCTACTAAAAATACGAAAAAATCAGCTGGGCATGGTGGCGCGTGCCTGTAATCCCAGCTACTCAGGAGGCTGAGGCAGGAGAATTGCCTGAACCCAGGAGGCGGAGGTTGCGGTGAGCAGAGATCGTGCCATTGCACTCCAGCCTGGGTAACAAAAGTGAAACTCCGTCTCTAAATAAATAAATAAATAAATAAAAAGTTCTGACAATGATCTAGACCCAGGGAGTAGATCAACGTGGCCCCCCACCTCCCCTTTCTACATAACCCGGAGAATTCTTAACTGGGCGTCCCACCTTACCAATTTTTTTTTTTTTTTTTTTTTTTGAGACGGAGTTTTGCTCTTGTTACCCAGGCTGGAGTGCGATGGCGCGATCTCGGCTCACCGCAACCTCCGCCTCCTGGGTTCAAGCAATTCTCCTGCCTCAACCTCCTGAGTAGCTGAGATTACAGGCACGTACCACCACACCCAGCTGATTTTTTGTATTTTTAGTAGAGACGCGGTTTCACCATGTTGACCAGGATGGTCTTGATCTCTTGACCTTGTGATCCACCCGCCTCGGTCTCCCAAAGTGCTGGGATTACAGGCTTGAGCCACCGCGCCCGGCCCCACCTTCCCAATTTTACCCCAAATTTAGTGAGCAGGTGCATTTTCTGCGGCATGGCTCTATAGGTTTTATTACATCTTCAAAGAAGGCCGCAACTTCTTCAAAATGAGAAGTCCTGATTCTGACCGAAGCTGCTAGCCTCACCATCGAAAAAACAATTTAGTAAAAGTTATATTCAGTTACGGTCAGTCACCTACAAAACAATTTCGATAGGTACTTCCGATTTAAAAACTCACTGTTTCGTACACAAGCATCCAGGCCCAAACCCCAGTTTTCAGAAGCTCAATAAAAACCGATCACATAAATCATCAGCAGATAAAACCCTCGATTTACAAACACCGTGCAGGGCCCGCCGAGTGGGGCCGGCAAGGCCGCGACGCGGGCACGTCGGGGTCACCAACCCCGGGACACACGCGGGTCGCCCGGTCCCCGCCGGGGGCCCACCCCAGCCCGGCCACCGCGGAGGAGTCAGAGGAGAGTCACCTGACAGCTGCTGCTGCGGTGGTTGCCGTCCTCCTCCTGCACCCCTGGCACCTGGATGTTCGTTCCAGCACCGATCTCCAAAGCGGCACCGGCCTTGAAGGAAGAATTGACAGATGGCCATTGCGAAGGCGTCGCTGACGGAGGAGTCTTCGATCGGCCCCGGTCGACGCTAGCCGGTAGGCAGAGAGCCCCAGGTGGCCGCGGCGCCCGGCCGGGCTACTGTGACGTCATCTTCCCGCGCCCGGGAAAGGCCTTTTTCTTCCTGTCTCACCCCGTGCCATGAGAGGCGTGAACTTGAGCCAATAGGACTTGAGAAGAGCGACCGCTCTGTCCCTTTGAGGGTGTCCTGGGAAGGCGGGATGCTTGAATGGTTAGGGTGAAGAACGGGAGGCGCGTTTGACCCCAGTGCGGGGCCTCGGACTGAATGAGAGGAAGGCGGAGCAGGCAAACGCGGAATTTCAGCAAGTCCCTGAGAGAATTAGCTGTGATTTGATAGACCTAGTCGTTCTTGTTGAGAAAGTAACAATCTGCCCAGCCTTTCATCTGGATGGATAACAGAGTCAAATAAAGCTACATGTGACGTTAACGGAAACAATGTTTCTTTTAGAACATACTGCAACGGAAAACTATTACCTCTTTGAGTGAGTACTATATTCTTACCACTCACTGAGTAACCTTGTTCTTTAAAGTCCACATAAACGTTGCTATTTGAAATTATATCAGAACAAGTGAAACGTCCCATACTTACCTGGAGGCTTTAAGTCTCTTTGACGCAGAGAAGCAGCCTCAGTTTCTACCCAGGTGTAGAACTTCAGATAAACGGTTTCTGAAAACGTTCTGTATTTTCTTAACTTTGCAGTTTCCAAGGAAACATGCCCTACATTCAATTCTCGGTCTGGACCTGATGTTAATGCCTTTACACACAGCTATGCTTTGAGATATTATTTAAATTTCACCTAAACTTCATTCTCCCCTCTCCCCCCAAAAAAATCCTACAATAACCACCTTTTATTTTGTACAGTGAGACACCCCACAGCTCCTCTGGTGTGCAGTCTCATTGACTGCAATAAGTCAGTAAATCTGACTTTGTTGGATTACACATTTGTGCTGGTGGTTTTAGGATTATTGGGCTGGAAATGAGCCATCATTCTTGCTCATTTAATTTGTTTGGATTTTGAAGACACTAGAATCTACGGGACTGGGAACTACTTGTCCAAACTAGTTTTTATTCTCTTTAATCAATGCAATTCATTTATTTTGAAACAAATATATGGAAAAGTTACAAATAACAGTACAGAGAACTTTTTTTTTTTTTTTTTTGAGACGGAGTTTCGCTCTTGTTACCCACGGCTGGAGTGCAATGGCGCGATCTCGGCTCACCGCAACCTCCGCCTCCTGGGTTCAGGCAATTCTCCTGCCTCAGCCTCCTGAGTAGCTGGGATTATAGGTACGCGCCACCATGCCCAGCTAATTTTTTGTATTTTTAGTAGAGACGGGGTTTCACCATGTTGACCAGGTTGGTCTCGATCTCTCGACCTTGTGATCCACCCGCCTCGGCCTCCCAAAGTGCTGGGATTACAGGCTTGAGCCACTGTGCCCGGCCAAAGAACTTTTAAAAATCTTTTTTGTCCTGTGTCCTGTGGTCAGAGATTTCCTTTTTAGGACAAGTAACTTTTTTTTTCTGAACCATTTGAGACTATGTTGCAGACCTAATGCCCCAATACCCAAATATTTATATTTTCTACAAACCAGGGCATTCTACATAACCACAACACAATTAGGACATTGATACTGATGCACTACTACTATCTAATCCTTAGACTCCATTCATGTTTTGCCAAATGTCCCAATATTATCATTTTTAGGAAAAGGGTCCAGTTCAGAATTATTGTTACTTAGACATATTTTTTGTTTATCCCTGAGTTTGGAAGACTGTCTTTCCTTTTCATGACCCTGACACTATTAAAGATTACAGGCTGGTTATACTGCAGAAGATCCTTAGTGCATGTCTGTTTGATGTTCTCTCTTGATTAGATTCAGGTTATGCATCTTTGGCAGGATTATCACAGAAATAATGCTGTGGTTTTCACATTCATTGCAGGTTGTGCACAATTTCAATTTGTTCTGTTACCTGTGTCTGCCAAGCTGTTCTACCATAAAGTTATTCTTTTCCTTTTTATTAATAAGAATTTTGTGGGGAGGTAATCTGTAAGTATATAAAAATCTGATTGTTCATCCAACTTTTAGCTCATTCACTTATTCATATCAGTATGGACTCATGACTTCCAGTGCTATTTAGTGAGTTATAATCCATTACTATCATTTATTTTAATGCTCAAGTCATCTCCAGTTTGGCCAGTGGGAGCCCCTTTAAGCTCCTTTGCACATTTGAAAAAGGACCAAAAAAAAAAAAAAAAAAAAAAAAAAAAAAGAAATCCTCATGATTACTTGAGCACTTTTTTAGTTTCTGGTACAAAGATATTCCAGGCTTATTTTTACATTCTCTACTCCAGTCTGGAATCAGTTGTTTCTCCAGGGGTCTTTTTGGTGCTACTTAGAAATCACGATCTGAACTTTAAGTGTGCTTATTGCTACTGGGATGTCTTTGCTCTCATAAGCATTGCTAGGAAATACATATGTACAAAAAAAGCATTTACACCAAACATATTTCTATATTCTATACATTGAAAATTATGCCTTCTATGTCAAAGGCTATGAAAAAAAAACTTGAGTTTACACTGATGATCTCCAATTTCAACCCAAAATCACAATTCATTTTTATTTTCCTCCTATATTTTTAACTCCTAGAAACTTGGCTTTCATTAACTTTAATATTTTTATTTTATTATCTTCTTGTATGAACCAGTATTGCTTTGTAGCCACTGACTTCTCTTCCTGGAAATGTCAACATGTGTAAGGACTTTGCTGGGATCAAAGACCTAAAATAATACCAATGGTGGCTGAAACTTAAGTGAGGGTAAGCCCAGTACTTGGTGAATGTAGAGAGGGGCAAGGCCAGAATGCTGGTTGAGACTGTCTAGGTAGAATGTGTGTGACAATGAAACCCTAGGGCTTGCAGAACTTGGTAGTGATTGGTTGGTGATGATGTAGATGGAAATTAAGAGTGTGGGGTTACAGGAAGGAAACTTCTGATTTCTTCAAACGGCAGAGTAAAAATACTGCTGCCTTCTCTTCCAATTGGAAGAAACAAGTGTCTCAACCTGATAGGAGTTAGGATTCCTCCCCAATAAAAGGGAACAAGAGATACTTCAGATTCCAGGACATCAGATACAGAGAGGGCTTATGTTTATTGAATGGTGAGTCAAATATCCCAGAAAAATACCTATGGATCTCTTAAGGACCACCACCAAATAGTTGGTCATCTCATCACATAATGAAGTTCACTGATTAAGCTCACCCTTGTAACCCTGAGTTACCAATTTTCAAATGTCTCATTTTTAATACAAATGCACAGTCAGGGTCTAGATATTCGAATGCAGATGCCAACAAAGAGCAAAGCAAAGAAACAGAAAAGGAAGTTAGAGGAAACAAAAACACCAAAAATATTTCTAAAAGTCAAAGAAACTAAAGTATTGTCAGAGAGGATAACAAGAAACAAGAACGGCATACTATATATAAGAACAATTACAGAAATAAAGAAAGTACTCTTGGAAAACATAGATAGTGGAAACAAGTTAAAGAGGGTTAGAAGATAAAGTATGAGGGAATTTCTTTAAGACCCCAACTAGATCTTGAAGCCCACTTTAAATCTTTTATGAGAGAGGGCATAAAGCTCTGGAGAGTAAAAAGATTTCTAGTTAGTAAGGGTAACATTTCAAACAATTTCCCAGAACAGACTATTTTTTTTTAATTTTTATTTTTTCTAAAGTAGTGTGAATCATCTTGGGAAGGAGGAAGGTTAGGAAGATAAAAGTGGATTCAAGCTTTTTAAAGTCTTCTGAGGCAACTGTAAAGAGGGAGGAGCATAGGGGCTGGGCGCGGTGGCTCAAGCCTGTAATCCCAGCACTTTGGGAGGCCGAGGCGGGTGGATCACGAGGTCAAGAGATGGAGACCATCCTGGTCAACATGGTGAAACTCCGTCTCTACTAAAAATACAAAAAATTAGCTGGGCATGGTGGCACGTGCCTGTAATCCCAGCTACTCAGGAGGCTGAGGCAGGGGAATTGCTTGAACCCAGGAGGCGGAGGTTGCGGTGAGCTGAGATCGCGCCATTGCACTCCAGCCTGGGTAACAAGAGCGAAAACTCCGTCTCAAAAAAAAAAAAAAAAAAAAAAAAAAAAAAAAAAAAAAGAGGGAGGAGCATATTTGAAGGAAGGATTTATCAATGCTGAATGATGCCACCTGTAAAATGTCCTTTCATTAAAAGGACAAATTATTTGGACTTAAGAGTCCAAATAATGACTCAGTGAGAGCTGGTTTGGTGCCATGTGGAAGTAAATTGGATTTTCTCAAGTCTTTGGTATATTTAATAGTATTAATCATAGAAAGCAAAATTTCCTCTAAATACCTCCTTTACCCTGGCATATGTAGCAAATCCAAAACTTTTGCTGTTAACAGTATACATGGCAAAAGGAATATAGACTGCTTGGTGGAATTAACATTAAATGACTGATTTTGTTAGTAATATTGTCATGTCAAAATAATGAATCAAAGATTTCATGGGACAATATGTCAAGTTTTTGCCAACTAGGCCACAAAGTCACAAATGTATTTTTTAAAAATAGCAACAATTTTTTAAAGATGCTAAACTTTTATATCCAAATTGTGATTTTTGAAAGCATAAACTGAGTTACTTTGTCATCAAAATAGTATCACTGCAAAGGATATAACATTAAACTTATCAAACGTCTACTAAAAAGAAAGCAGAGCACTTTGCAGGACAGGAAGTTTTGGGGAACAAAACAGAAAATGTCCTTGTCAGTATGGTGGGTGCACTTTTACCCACTATCCTTGATATTAAAATTCTGTAGAAATTTCCAAGGCAGAAAAAAACAGTAATTAGGAATTATAATAGAGATTACTAAGGAAAAAAACACACTTCATTATAATCCACATCAAAGCTGTGTATGTATTTACTATAGTGTGTTCTAGTCAGTTGACACAGCCTAACAAGAAATGCTAGTGTACTTAAAATATCTCAAACAGGTGCTGTACATTCTATATAGCAGACTGTCATATATAGCTATGTTGTAATATAATAAATGGATATTTCACTCTCAAACTAGCCACATTTTTCCACAGAGTGCAAAACTGAAAACTCTACTAAAAATATTCAGAAAAATCAAATCTAGAGACAGAAAGATTAGTGGTTGCCTAGGGCTATGGTGTTTGGGAGGTTTTCTGTGTTGAACAGTGTCTCCCCAAATTCATATCTACTCAGAAGCTCAGCATGTGATCTCATTTGAAAATAGGGTCTTTACGGATGTAACCAGTTAAAGTCATACTGGGTTGGGGACCCTATATGGTCCTTTTTTTTTTTTTTCTTTTTGAGGAGTCTTGCTGTTACCCAGGCTGGAGCGCAGAGGTACAATCTCAGCTCACTGCAACCTCTGCCTCCCAGGTTCAAGCGATTCTCCTGCCTCAGCCTCCCAAGTAGCTGGGACTACAGGTGTGCACCACCACACCGGTCTAATTTTTCTATTTTAGTAGAGATGGGGTTTTGCCATGTTGCCCAGGCTGGTCTCAAACTCCTGACCTCAAGTGATCCACCCACCTCCCAAAGTGCTGGGAATACAGGTGTGAGCCACAGCACCCAGCCTTTTTTTTTTTTTTTTTTTTGAGACAGGGTCTCACTCTGTTGCCCAGGCTGGAGTGCAGTGGCGCAATCATAGCTCACTTGAACTCCTGTGCTCAAGTGATCTTCCCACCTCAGCCTTCTGAGTAGCCATGACAGCAGGCATATACCACCACACCTGCTAACTTTTTAATTTTACTTTTTGGTAGAGACAGGGTCTTGAACTCAAGTGACTTTCCTGCTTCCACCTTCCAAAGTGTTGAAATTACTGGTCTGGCTCTTATGTTGTCCTTATAAGAACACTATGTGAAGATACAGAGACACAGGAAAAAAGCCCATGGGAAGACAGAGACAGAGACTGAAGTGCTGCAGCTACAGGTAAAGGAATGCTGAAGATTGCTGGCAACCATCAGAAGCTAGGGGAAAGGAACGGGCAGTTTCTGCTGCAGAGCCTCCAGAAGGAACTGACCCTGCCGATACCTTGATTTAGGACTGCTGGCCTCCTGAATTGTGAGAGAATAAATTTGTTATTTAAAACTACTGCAAGTTTGCAGCAATTTGTTATGGTAGCCCTAGGAAACTAATACAGGGGTGTGGAGGGGAATGGGGAGCCACTGCTCATCAGTGCAAGGTTTCTTTTTGGGGTGATGAAAATGTTTTAAAATTGTGGTGATATTTGCACAACTCTGTGGATATATTAAAAACCACTGAATAGTGCACTTTTTCTTTTCTTTTCTTTTTTTTTTTTTTGAGACGGAGTCTTGCTCTGTTGCCCAGGCTGGGGTGTAGTAGCTTGATCTTGGCTCACCACAACCTCTGCCTGTCGGGTTCAAATGATTCTTCTGCCTCAGCCTCCTGAGTAGCTGGGATTACAAGCACACATCACCAGGCCTAGCTAAGTTTTGTATTTTTATTAGAGATGGGGTCTCATCATGTTGGCCAGGCTGGTCTTGAACTCCAGACCTCAGATGATCTATGTGCCTCAGCCTCCCAAAGCGCTGGGATTACAGGCGTGAGACACCATGCCTGGCCTGACAAATAGTACACTTTAAGTGGTGAATTGTATGGTATGTGAATTATATCTCAATATAGCTGTTATGTTCATTTAAAAACCCTACACAAATAGAAATATACCTATCATTATGCTTTTCCTAATTTGTTTTTGATTTAAACATTTTTACGGTTTAAGACTATTATAACCTCTATGTAAAGAAAACTGAAAATTGAGAGACACTGCTTCACAAATTCTAAAAACAACCATTACCTAATATACTTGAAGAATGAATAAAATTATTTTAAGTTAAAAAATATTTAATATTATCAGATAAAAACATTTATGGTGACAGCTTTACATGGCTCATTCCATACACAGCGAAAAAGGCAAAGTATTACTATGAAAGAAATAAGTAGTTAGGTTTGCAAAAGATTTATTGATCACATAAAAGCAATGACTAGGAGATAGCATTTAACTCATGATTACAAAACTTTTAGAGACAACTAGGTTAAGTAACTCACGTTCTTGCTAAGGGAAAAGAATTCATGATCTCTTTAAAGAAGTTAAAAGTCAATACTGATATTGTGGTTCAACTACCAGTGCTTCTCTAATGATCTAGAAATTTGCTATAAATAGCTGTACCTTTTGCTAGTTAATCACTTATTATGATTGGATTTTATTTAACAGTGAGGACTAAAGAGGCAGAATCCTTTTTTTAACCACTGAATAAAACAGTGACATAAATTAATGATGGGTGCTAAGCTTTAAATTTTAGGTTAAAAAGATGGAATGTATTAAAGTAGATTGAATACATTTCATGAGAAGTTGAACACATTCCAAATCTGTTTAGGAAATTTTGTGAGTAAGTGTGTATATGCCTTGATTCACTGTGGCTTACTTTTAAAATGGAATACATTTGGCACTAAATAAAATAAAGACAAGCAAACTCTGTGAGACTAAGCTGCTCCATCTGAGTTGCCCATCTTGACTTACAATTCATACTATTTCTTAGTTCTTGACTGAGTACAAACAGATCTAACCACATAGCACTTCTGTGATGCATGAAAATAGAATCTAGAGCTAAGATGCTGCTGCTTCACTGATGAGCCAATCTCTCATCTGCCAAAATCATAGTTACAAATGTGAAATTCATTCAAGAAATTCGAATTTTCAACAAATGCTTATAATTTTTCAACTTTTCTTGCTAAATATGTTCTTGGTTTTGTGGCCAGCTAAAATATGATCTTTGAATTAAGTAAGGAAATCCATATAAAACAAACATCTATTTTATAGGGACCTCATTTCACTTGAAACTTTCTTTACCAAAACACCAGACCAAAACTTTGTCACCAAACCCTTGGAACAAAGCACTGGTGGCTGATTTCTGAGTCTCTGATGAGTCTGAAGTTCACTCATTTTTCATGTTTCAAGAGTCTCTTCATTTGCTCCACAAGTATCAACAACACAAATTAAACAACTTGTGACTGGAAAAGCACGAACTTTGGAGTTGGCAATCCATTTGTCTGTTTCAGTATTATATTCAAGAATGTGTCCTAATCGACCAACACCCTGAAAACCAGCCAAGACATAAACTATAGAGCCAACTGCTGCACACTTCACTGTTACACCCTTCCATGGCATTGGTGAGACCATCTTCCATTCGTTCAACTTAATATCGTAATATTCCACATTGTCCAGACCACCTTCAAAAGAATAAAACAAAATGAACAACATGAAAAATGATATGAACAATTCTAAGATTTCTTAAAGTAGTAACTTTTTGTATTTTTCCTATATGTTATCATGAAAATTTTCAAACACACAGAAAAATTGTAATTTTACAATGAATGTCCATATAGCCACCACCTAAATTCTTACTTATTTTAACACAACAGAAATTTAATATTTTAAAATAGTGATTCTTTTCTATAAAATTAAAAATGTTCTATCTACCCTGGAAAAATGCAAAATAAACCGATCAGTGATTTCCCTTCTGATTAACTTTGTTTATAATTATTCAAATGTCCTTCTTTTTCCTCCTATTAGCAGCTTATGGAAAATAGCAATGGACAGGGACAGAAGAAGGAAAAGAAATTATTCGCTACATTTAAGTAATGCTTAAGTGTACTGACTAAAATAAAGCTTGTTTCTAGATTCAGTTCAGACTCTCTTTAAGACAATTATTTAAGATTCTTTACTACATACAAAATGCCAAATTTAGTCATTTAAAAATTATAATATTAATAATTTCATGCAATGTTTAAAAATACTTAGAAAACTTTACTGTTTGAGACCTGGATACAAGCCTTACAACTTGTATTTAAAAAGTTTTTTAAAGGTTTTTAAAAGTTTGAATATTTCCATTGCTCAAGAGTTCTTAAGCTGATTCTAAATCATTCCCCAGAAAGTATGTGGAAATGCATAGGAGCTATCTAAAATTGTCATAATGACTGGTGACCACTGAAACATTTCATAAACAAGAATGTTTAACATTCTGCGATGGTTTACCAAAGATGTTAGTTACCAGAAAACTATAAAAATAGATATAATAATATACATGGTAAATGCTTGTATCTAGATTTTTAAAAAATGCTTCAATAATTTAAGGAAGTATCAGCAAACTGATCAGGGAAGTGAAACAGTGAATTAACATCACATACCTAAACCATTCTGACCACCCACAGCAAATATCTTGTCTTTTACAAATACCAGCCCATGATTCTTCCTGGCTTCAATCATTGGACACAGCTCAGTCCATCTGAAAAAATTACAGTTTTTAGTGTGCTGGTTTATAGGAAGTAAAATAACTCATACTAATAAGAAAGGTCTATTATTCTAATTAAGTGCTCATTTACTACTCGTGTATATATACACATAAAATGTCTAGCAGGGTAGAAAACAAAAGTTTAACAATGATTACAAGTAATTTATCAATGTATGGGTAAACAGGGATTTTACTCCTTTCAATTCTGATAGGATATAAGAAAATGAGGATATCTGACTATTAAAAAACATATTTTTAAAGGAAATCCTTCTCCTGATGTTCATAAAAACTTGTAATACGGGAACAAAAAACAAGAGGAAGATACTAGAAGATAAAGAAGTAATTCTTTTTTCTTTCTTCACAACTCTGCTGGCAGGAAAAATGAACTAGTTCTATCACATATAGCTTTGAACTAGTTCTATCACATATAGCTTTAATTATTAATGTATGTATAAGTAAAAAGTAAACTTATAATGGACCTCAGGTAATCAGGAAATTAATAGTATCTGTTTCTATTCACATGTCCATCTTTAAATCTACACTAAGAACTTTATGCTGCTCTGGTAACAAAAAAATACTATCATTCTGTCAAGTTTAATAACTCACATTGCTGTGTTCACAGCCACTATTACAAATAATGAAACTAAGAATATAAATGTGGACACACGTGTTAAAGGATATTAATTCACAGATAGCAGCATTATACATATATATACAGACAATAGGGTTTAGTTATTTTTTTCTGAGATTCAATACCTTCTTCTGTATATACTCCCAAGTCTGACATTTGTGATTGTGAAACTGGTATTGGCACACAGTCTTGTGCTTTTAGCAGCTAATTTAAACCAAAAGACTCCAAACAACAGTAACAACAACAACAAAAGGGAAACTTGGCATAAGAGTAACTCTCTGTAATTATTATTTATATTTCTTCTTTAAAACAACTTGGCGAATATAACTTTATAAAACCTAATTAGGGCACAATGATTAACTGAAATATTAACAATTCTTTTGTCCTATATTTATGTATTGTTTTAAAAATGGTTTGACAGTCACCACTCATTTTCAAAGCACTCTGTTAAGTTGTGGTGGACAGCATGGCTGCTGTTTTTAGGAAAAACTCAAATGCTCATCCAGGTGAAATGACTGGCATACAACTTGGAAGTGGGACAGCAGTAAAAACTAGGTCTTCACTGCCCTGCACAGAGTGAGATTTATAGACCGACCTATCATCATGCATTAAATATAGTATTTGACTTGGAAAAATTCCATTTACATACCACTTTCTTCTCCAAATACTATGTTAATGACATAAAAAGAGAGCATGTTTTTATGTATATCTAAATCTCCTGAAGGTTTAGAAAACAAGTTTCACAAATCCCCCTTCCTCCTCTTTTTTTTTTTTTTTGAGACGGAGTTTCGCTCTTGTTAACCAGGCTGGAGTGCAATGGCGCGATCTCGGCTCACCGCAACCTCCGCCTCCTGGGTTCAGGCAATTCTCCTGCCTCAGCCTCCTGAGTAGCTGGGATTACGGGCACGCGCCACCATGCCCAGCTAATTTTTGTATTTTTAGTAGAGACGGAGTTTCACCATGTTGATCAGGATGGTCTCGATCTCTCGACCTCGTGATCCACCCACCTCGGCCTCCCAAAGTGCTGGGATTACAGGCTTGAGCCACTGCGCCTGGCCCACATTTTAAAAAGGAAATAATATAACATTTTTTTTGAGACTAGGATAATTATATTCACACTACCTTTTCATTTGTGAAAATTTAAAGGAATTGAAGGGAGCCTAGAGAATTCAAATTTAACGTTTAAGTTCAATATGTACAAAATGAAAAAATGCTAGGTCTTGTAAGTTTCTTTTTTATTTTTATTTATTTTTTTTTGAGACAGAGTCTTGCTCTGTTGCCCAGGCTGTAGGGCAGTGGCATGAGCTTGGCTCACGGTATCCTCAACCTCCCAGGTAGAAGTGATTCCCATGTCTCAGCCTCCTGAGTAGCTGGGACCACAGGTGTGCACCATCACGCTCAGGGTAATTTTTTTGTATTTTAGTAAAGACGGGGTTTCACCATGTTGGCTAGGATGGTCTCAATCTCCTGACCTTGTGATCTGCTCGCCTCGGCCTCCCAAAGTGCTGAAACTGCAGGCGTGAGCCACTGCACCTGGCCAGTCTTGTAAGTTTTAAAATATTCCTGAAACTGAATATTCACCTAGTTTTAAAAAATACAGAAGCTGCAGAATTTCTTTATGTTGTTATATGAAACAAAAGTAAGTAAAAATACATTATTAATTTACATTGATAGTGCATGTAAAAATTTAGAAACCTGGAGTTTATATGGTTATGGCTTCTACTTTTTAAGAGATTTCTTTAGAAATAAAAAATAATTAGTAGAATGAATCAGTTTTCCACTAGTATGCTGTAACACCTTTTAAGCATAGGGTTTATGGGAAGTAAGGTAGAGGTTCACATAAAAAGGAGCAAAGTTGGAAAACATCTTTAGCAAAAGATAAATTTCAAGACAACCTGCTCTTCTATTATTTGCATTGGAAATAAGTTCTTGATTATGTTTTCTTAAATCTTTTAAAAATAGGTGGGAATCATAAATAGATAAATGCACATTAGTCATATTTTATAATTAAGCTCTTATTTCTTATTTTATTTTTGAGACAGACTCTCACTCTGTCACCCAGGCTGGAGTGCAGTGGCATGGTCTTGGCTCGCTGCAACCTCCGCTTTCCAGGTTCAAGCAATTTTCCTGCTTCAGCCTCCCCAATAGCGGATTACAGGCATGCACTACAACACTCGGCTAGTTTTTCTATTTTTAGTAGAGATGGGATTTTGCCATGTTGGCCAGGCTGACCTTGAACTCCTGTCCTTAAGTGATCTGCCCACCTCAGCCTCCCAAAGTGCTGGGATTACAAGCATGAGCCATCATGCCAGGCCTCTCATTTCTTAATTTTTAAAAAAGCAGTAGCTGGAGTTAAAGACTTACATGTTTTATAGTTTGGCAGTATTTCCTAAACATAAAACTTAAAGCACAAGAGTTTTGATGCAACTCTGGCATAACATTTTGGTTGAACATATTTACCCAGTAACTTATTCTAGTAAGGGAAGAACAATGGGCAATCCAGCCATATGACCAAGTGACCTTTCTTATCAAAGCTCTTTGGATATTTCCACAAAAGGTACAACTAGGGTATCATTTGTTTTATGTCCTCATCAGCTTTAATCACTATACTCACAGCCCCTGCCCTTGTCTCCTCTCCATTATTCAATGATTGGCACATTTCCTTTGGCTATATTGAATGTGTTCCATCATTAACAACAAACTCAGAAAAACTGACTAACCAGTTATTTCTTTAGCATTTTGCCTTTTTGACACACTTTGCTTTTTTAAAAGGAGTTAAGATGAATTTTATTTAATAAGCATGATTCCAAACATACTTAGGAAGTTTACACCTAAAAAGAACTAGGGAGGCATGATTTATTAATGCCATGGGCCAATATCTAATATTTCTACTTCAGGACAAATGTTTTACTGATCTTAAATTTTTCCCCCTCCTCCCCTACATTTCCTGACTGTTCAAACAAAAACATTTTATCAGTTGATGAGTCATTCAGATGTGTCTCATTCGCAGGCATTTATTGCACAAGCAGAACCAGAAAGAAAAAGGCTTTCAAGCCATTTCTGGTGTAAGGGAAGGGTCCAGGTCATAAGCATGCAACTGTCCCTAGCACACTCAAAAGTTTATATACATTCTTCGCTCAAAGACAAAATTCTTCTATTGGGTTCCTCTGGCCTTTTGACATTTCCTACAGAGCTTGTAGAATATAATTAACTGTAAAATAAGTTTTAAATTGATACGTACGTTTCTGTGGCAGGATCATAAACTTCACAGGAATTAAGCACTCTCCCAGAAACATTGTTTCCTAAACTTCCACCACAAACATAGATCAGGCCATTGGCTTCCACCATCCCATGGCTGCAGCGCTGGGTCAGCATGCTGGGCTTTGTGTGCCAGCTTTCAGTTCTTGTATCATAGCACTCAAATAAATAAAGAGCTGAGTTTCCTGTAAAAGAAAAAAGCTCCATCATGCTTAACTTTAGTGTGTGTGGGAGTTTGGAGAGAACTGACCACAGAGCTTATTAGTTAAGCAAGGAACAATTTAGGGTCATAGGGTCATTTTCATATTTAATCAACAACAATAAAGTATAAGAATAGTTTAAGAAAATGCTAATAATCTTGTTTGTATAGACCCTGGAAAACATCCTTAAAAGGATCAGGTGGAAAGACTTATTTGTTGGTAATTACACTTTAGAAAAAGAAATGTGATTTCAAAAGAAAAATTAAATAAGAAGTCTTATGTATGTCTTCAAGCCCCATAATGCATGATGAGAATTATCTAAATTTCAAATGTTTACATTAAGTGGAAAAGCCTGTTTAAGTAAAAAAACATACTTAGCAGAGGCTGAAGGAATGGAGTTATCTGCAGTACCACAGAACAGTTACCGTCTATCACCTTTAGGATTTATTGTATTTGAAATAAGCTACATCATAACAGTCTGAGAAGAACGCTTTTAAAGAGAGGAAATGGTCCCATTTAGGAAATAATTTTTTTTTGTATTCTTTGATATATAGTAGGGGGTAAAAACATAAACATGCAGACCAAAAGTACAACAGTTTACATGGTCTTCCTAGTTTTATTAGCCCATTATTGAAACTATGTGTCTAGTCTGCACTAGAATAGTCATTTAGAAAAAGTATTCATTTAGAAAAAGATCACTACTGGACTCCAACACACTATTCAATAAGAAATGTTTTTATATCCATACCCACATCCCATTCTGCTCAATATGCATAAATACCACTACCAGTCATTAGATTAAAAACTTAAATAAGCCGGGAGCGGTGGCTCAAGCCTGTAATCCCAGCACTTTGGGAGGCCGAGGTGGGTGGATCATGAGGTCAAGATATCGAGACCATCCTGGTCAACAAGGTGAAACCCCGTCTCTACTAAAAATACAAAAAATTAGCTGGGCATGGTTGTGCGTGCCTGTAATCCCAGCTACTCAGGAGGCTGAGACAGGAGAATTGCCTGAACCCGGGAGGCGGAGGTTGCGGTGAGCCGAGATCGCGCCATTGCACTCCAGCCTGGGTAACAAGAGCGAAACTCCATCTCAAAAATAAAAAAAAACAAAAACAAAAACAAAAAAAAACCTTAAATAAAAAGATCATTCGTTTTTCTAATGAAAAGAAAGTGAAGATAATACAAATTTTAAAAGCCTGAATATAGTAATGAGTTCTTAAAGCGTCTATAAGTTGAACTATGAAATCTTTAAAACAATTACTGTATCCAAAATAACTAATTTAGAAGTATAATTCAGATAGTGTCAACTAATGCTTCATTATGATAAAAAAATGGACAATTAATCTAGGAAGCTAAAGTTCTGTAATTTAATGGTTTATAAAGGAATGAGATAGATAAACCTTTAGGGAGATGGGCTCTAAAATGTGACAAACATGTATTTAAATTACCAATAAAGTATTTGGACAGATAATACCAGCTGTTTATTTAAATGTGAAAGCCAAGATAGTTGGCTTTAAAGTATTTGCCCCGAACCAAAATACTTAAGAAGTCCTTACCTACTTCTGAACCTCCAGATGTATAAATTTTGCCTTCTGCGGCACAGGCGGCAAGGCTGTCTCGAGGTGTCGGAGGGCCCAGTTTGGAATACCAGCTATCCTTCACTACATTGTAACAGTCCATTCGCTTTATCGGGAAAAGCTGAGAGCCTCCCAAAATGTATACTACGTTGTCCCAAAACACGCATGCTGCATCTCTTCGTTTTTCAAAGGGGCAGCGGATGTCTGTCCAGCTGTAATCCTGTAACAGAAAAGGACAGGAAGCTTTCAGTAAGGAAAAAATATAATTGAAAAGGACAATACAAAGATATAGTAAAAAAATATATAAGAATACGTTAATTTTATTAGGCTACACATACAAATGTTTGGCTTGAGAGTATTACCAATTTAATCTTGTGTGATTTCTGCAGAATGTTGATTACATGGGGCAGAGGGCAGAAGGCAGGCACATGTGTGCTTTGGGTCCTTTCTAGCTCTAAAATAAACTTAAAAATATTTGGATATACCACCACCACCCTATCTTCTATTCCTTCTTTCATTGGAGATAATACAAGAAGATTCTAAAATAAGTTGTTTCATTATTTTTAAAAAGCCTCTTTTTCAAATGTAAAGGTCTCCATCCCATCCCTGCCAGATTAAACAGTGTGATATAAATAACCAATGGATAACATAAAGCTCAAATTGCCATTATCCTACTGATAACCTAAAGCCAGAAAGTATTTTGTGGACTTTATTAATTTTCTATATTCAGTAGAGCCAATGTAGTCAGCTGGACTCTTAACGCTGTTAATGTTTATGAGGAAATACTTGAATAACTTGTTCTGAGTACTCTGGATACTCACTTTTCTCCCCAACAATTAGAAATATACACCTATTACTTTGGGAGGCCAAGGGGGGCAGATCATGAAGTCAGGAGTTCAAGATCAGCCTGACCAACATGGTGAAACCCCTGTCTCTACTAAAAATACAAAAATTAGCCAGGCATTGTGGCGAGTACCTGTAATTCCAGCTACTCAGGAGGCTGAGGTGGGAGAATCGCTTGAACCTAGGAGGCGGAGGTTGCAGTGACCCAAGATCGCACCACTGCACTCCAGCCTGGTGCTTGGCAACAGAGCAAGACTCTGTCTCAAAAAAAAAAAAATAAATAAAAATAAAATAAAAAGAAATATATACTTATCAGGGCTGTTCACAGCACCTGTTTCTTCACTATTTTGATAGCATCCAAGAGACCCTCCCCTTTTTTGAGAAAGGAAGCTACAGTGTTCTTGCTATTTTCTGAATATAATCAGGATCAGATAGGAATACCATTCCCAATCTCACCAAGCAAAGCACTATGTGTGAATATTAATGTTGAGTTTCCTTTGAGAAAATCTGACTGGTAACCTATGATCGTATCCAGTGTTTCAGGCATTCACTGGATTAGATCAAAGTATCACAGAACATCAGGAATAGTCTCTTAGGAAAGGAAGAGCCCCTAATGTAGAACACTCAGATGCCTGACAAAGATAAACATTCTGCTTTTTAGGTGACCCAGTAAATAGAGCCTTAATAGCTTAGGATTTTATTCTCAAGTTAGGATCAACAGGTGGACACACCAAACAATGGGATAAACATAACATGCTCCTGAGACTTCAATTCCACTCAATGAACACTTGAGAAACTGGGGGAAAATATTTTTACTTGTTCTCTTGGAGAAACTGTATACTACAGAATGAAACAAAGAGATAAAATAATAATCATATTGTACAGAAAATAATCCCTCAAAGATAAACTAAATCATTCTCTTAAATGTTGTTCACATCTACTCATAATTCCTATTTGATCAGGTTTATGTAGCAAAGAAATGCGATTTCATTAACTGCATTAACTTAGTGAATCTCAAATCTTGTCACTCTTACCCCTAATTTATTCGACATTTATTACTGGAGAGCTATATGGGAAACTTTTTTTTTTCCTGATTTCAGTACCTGGATAATGTATGTAGTTGAGGGAAGGGAAAAGAATAGATGGAAAGTCGTCTGTTCAGTGGGCATGACTGTTCGGCATTACCCTAGTGATGAAACTAGATCTAACCTGGGCTTGCAGGTGAAGGCAGTGCTATTTATTGTTCCCTGTACAGGCTACAGGAAAATTGAGAGAAACACAGTTTTCGTGTTAGAAAGCAGATGGACAAATAACATTAGAGTCATAGATGGGAAGGTGTATGTGTGTGGGCAGGGTTAAGGAACTGTTACCCTAAAAATGTGATTTAATTCAGTTAAGTTTTACTGAGTATCTATTCCATGAAAATTCTTAGGCTTCGGTGCTGCGATGTGAATATGGGAAAATTTGAAAGCCTGGAAAAGATATAGGTAGAATGATTTCTTAAATTTTGACGTATCTCTCATTATACAAACGTACACATATAGACACATCCATGTATAACGTCTTGTCTTCCTTGGTCCTAGTCAGCCTTTCTTGCCTCTGCAGTCATAGGCCATGCTATATTTTTTTCCAAGCTCAAGACTACTTTCCTTTTTGTAATTTCCTGATTTCTTTCTTCGGAATCCTTACCACTCCAAGTCCAGACTTGATGACTGAGCACTCCATTATATCTTGGCCTGTATGATTTTCCAGCTGTAATAGTTCTCATTGCTCCTGCAAGAGTAAAAGCTCTGGGCTGGGAGCAGTGGCTCATGCCTGTAATCCCAGCACTTTGGGAGGCCGAGGTGGGCGGATCACCTGAGGTCAGAAGTTGAAGACCAGCCTGGCCAACAATCACTGTCTCTACTAAAAATACAAAAAAAATTAGCTGGGTGTGGTGGCAAGTGCCTGTAATCTCTCAGCTCCTCGGGAGGTTGAGGCAGGAGAATCGGGAGGCAGAGGTTGCAGTGAGCTGAGATTGTGCCACTGTCCTCCAGCCTGAGCAACAAGAGTGAAACTCTGTCTCAAGAAAAGAAGAGTAAAAGCTTCCTGGGGTGAGAAGTTGTAAATATTTTCTCTAAGTGCTTCAAGGCAAAAGACCAGTGTGATATTTTCCTTCAAAGTAAGGACTATTTTTACATAATATATTCTGAAAACATATAGATTCTCAAATAATAGAAATGCTGTAGTAAAAATCAAGGCAACCACAATCCAAAAGGAAATACTTTTCATTTTTAATACTTGAGAACTTTATTTTTGATCATTTTGAGAGAAATTCAAGGAAGGCAGAGTCAGGGAAAAAAGAAAGCAAAATTATCAAAACTTTAAGATTTCTTACAGAAACCACAGGGAATCAATCCAACCTAAGTTTAAGATGACCAAATTACAAATACTTTCTCTTAAGCCACTATCTGGTTTATCTTAGTTTCTAAGGGCTTTAAAAAGGTCATACACCTATGGTGACAATCTACATAAAAAGCAGGTTTATGCCAGATGCCAGAACATTCCTAGAAGTAGTTTCATTAGAAACACATAGAAACACTTTTGGCTTCATTCATTTTACAAGGACACAAAGAATGTAATTCAAAGGAACTGGGAAACTTGGGTACGAAGCCAGGCTCTGTACGGAGGAGCTATGGATCTCAGTTAGGGTCACTTAACTTCTAAGGGACTTCAGTTTCTTTATCTGTACAACAAAATGACTGAACTAGATGACCAAAAGTCTCTTCCCTTTCAGTCCTATCATCTAGTGATCTTAGAATCCAAATGATTTAGAATGTATCCCTAGCCAAATAGCTACTATTAATTTATTAGTTAATTAAGTACTTACCTTTCCAGGAACTATGCTGAAATATTTTAAAACATCATCTTATTTAATTTCTTTAATAACTCTATAAGGTAATATACTCATTTACAGATAAGAAAACTAAGAGATATTAAGTAACTTATCAAAGGTTACATAGTTAGAAAATGGTGAACCCATGATCTAAATCTAAATCCATCCGACTCCAAAGCTGTGTCTTTAGTCCCTATGCTGCCCTGCTTCTCTAAAAGTCTTCCATGGCCTACTAGAAAGAACACAGAACTGGTAGTAGAGTGATTTGGGTTCCTCTTGTCACTGTTGTGTTTCTAGCGAAGTGATTCTGGGCACGTGAACTGCCATTGTTGGATCTCAACAGCCTCATCTATAAAATCAGGAGGACGGCAGGATGGCTGCTGAGGTCCTGCACAATCTCCCTATCTTATCACTTATAAACACAATGCTCAACCACCAAAAGCACAGCTACTATGAAAATAGAGGTTTTCTCCTTGTGTTTGTATAGTATTTGGCCCAGGGCTCAGCATGCTGAGGGAATGTTCTCATTGAGTGATAGTTCACATGTATCATCCTGTTAGGCCATCTTCATTTTTGACTTTGCAAAGGTCAGAGACTGAAGATGCTGCACTCTGCTCCTGGTTTGTACCAGTTCTTCATTGCAGTACTATCTTTACATTACACTGGCTCCAGCTGGCATCTTGTCACTATGGCTCCTGGTTCTGTGGTGGCTGCACCACTGAAGACCAGGGGGACCTGTAACCAACCAACCAGCAAGTACCTGGGTTGGGGGCCAGGTTTTCATCTCCTGTTTTTGTAAGTCTAAATAGTTTCCACTTTTATCCTTTGTTAGAGCAATCTTCTCATAGGAATTTATCCTAAAGGAAAAACTGGACAGTGTGCAAAGCTGCCAGATATAAAGATGTTTCACTGCAGGAGTATTTTTTAAAACCTGTAAATCAACCAAATGTGTTTGATGAAGACGGGTATTAAATTATGGTATATCTTTGTGAAGGAATACTCTATGGCCCTTCAAAAGAATGATATTCTCACTGACGTGAAAATATCTCCCTAACAAAATGGTAAGAATAAAATATATTTTGTGAAATAGCATGTAGGCATGATCCTGTATTTGTAAAACGTATTTGTAAAATCTGGAAAATGTGAGGACTAAATGTTCACTAACTACTGATGACCGTCTTTGGACACTGGCAGTACTTTGGCTTTCTCCTTTATATCTTGCTATATTTGAATTTTCTACAATGAACATTTATTTAAAAAAAAAAACAACAACAAAAATGCAATGAATAGTACCCAAAATATGGTACCAGGAAAACAACTGCTTTTCTCAGCAGAAGCCTGTACTAGTGCTAAATGTTTTAACAGGAACATTTAATTAAAACTAACTTAAAGGCTTTAAGAATTGAGAAACACATATAGCTATTATATTATGAGACGAAATTCCAACTAGAGGACAGATTAGAGGCAGTCCTTGCTTTTCTTCCAAATAGCACATTCTAAAG